GCGTGGCAGCAGGGAAAATGGCCGCGGATCTGGTTCGTAAGTCAAGGCAAGTTCGCAAGTCAAGGTAAATTTTTGGGGCCGGAGCTAGTCGTATCTTGAAAAATTCGTAAGGAGGGGCGTTCGTAACTAGAGGTACCACTGTATATTAACAACTATTCCCATCAGAAGGCTTATATCCATTTTCAAAATAGCCACCTTTATTGAAAGAGAACACAATTCCACATCTGTTTCAGTGTAAAGAAACTGGTAAGGAGTGACAATGAAATCTGACTACTGCCATGATTGCCAAAAAAGGGACTTTTCCTCAGACTATCTTATGACTGTTATCAGCTGTTACACTTAAACATCTTTTTGTCTAAGAATAGTCAAATATACTTTTTATGGATTTCTGTGAAATATGTTTACAATTCACAGCCATTTAAGTAAATGAAAACATTACCATTAATTTCAGTACAGAAGTGTAGTTTACTAAAGCTAGAATCGATCAAGAACTTGCTTTTTCAACTGCTGAAATGAATGTCACTACATATTTAAAACAGATCATTTGATTAACCTGTGCAGGGGGATATATGAAACCCCAAGCTAGAAATGGGCTGTGAACCCCCACTTTCTTTTTTTGCCAGTTAGTCCACTAGCAGAGGAATAATACATACACAGCTATGCGTGCATACATACTCCTTCAGCTGTTTTACCTACTGAAAGCCAATTGCTTTCAAATAAGAATGTCAGCTGTACCTTTAGAAACTGATTTGGCTAGTGTAACAAAATATAGCAATCAAGATTCTTAGGATCTAAAAGACACAGGCGGCTGACAGGAAATCTTTTCAGGTTGCTAATATCCATTTCTATATCTCTGCCAATTCTGGTTTAGCTTCTGTTGGATGACTGATAAGCAAAGTGCAATCATGATGATTTTCTTTGACCATTCCATTATTTTATCTTCCAAAATGGTCACTTACTGAACCAGCTTTGGGGACAGAGCTATAAGCTAGCATGCATGCATGCATGCATGCATTCATTCATTCAAGTTCTAAGCCACCAGACTCCCAGAGAGGAGAACTGAATTCTGGGTTTTGACAAGGTTCCATCTTGTCCTTAAAAATTTTTAATATCTACCATAGCGGGCAACATTTTCACAGCTAAGAGCCACACGTAAATGTTGTGGGCAGGGGAGTGGGGATGTTTTGTTTTGTTTTTTGTAAAATTAAAGACTGATAAGTAGTATGATAATGGAAAATAAGAGGTTGCATATTACAGAACTGGAGAGTTCTAGGGATTTTCATTTTTCCAAATTATACAAAGGGGCCTTGTTTGTTTAAACCACAGTAAGCCTTTTTAAGCCTTAAAATAAAACTGTCATTGTTTTCCTCCTTAAAATGTCAAGAAACCTTATCACTGGTTTTTATCCATTGCACTGCCAAATTTTGACGGTGCAATCAGAGAGGTTTGGATGTCACAAGGAATAACCAAAGTGATGCCGTGAAAAGAAGCTAGGAACTAAAATGCAGTACAGTAATACTGAGGGAGGGTATTCATTTACATAAAAAATATTCACCTTCTTTCAGTTTTTCTGAATGTGTGCATACGTTTGCCACTGAATGTTATCAGAGCTTCCAGTAGGTCCTATTGATATCTAAACTGAATCTGAGTGAAAAAATAAGACCAGTACGAAAGTTGTTTCATTTATATCGTGAGTTATTCAACCAGCTATGAGTTAGTGTGAAAAAATAATCACCCTTTAGATTCAGTAATTGGGCACACCAGCTTTAGCTGCAGTAACTAATCAAATACTTCCTATAACTGATGATCAGTTCCTCATCACGGTTCCATTTCTCCATGGTGAGCTATTTCAACTCAATAACATTTGATAGTTTTCTATCATGAATTGTTTCTTTCAGGGCCTATCAAAAAATTTCTACTGGCTTCAGGCTTGGACTTTGACTTGGCCATTCCAAAACACTCACTCTATACTTCTTCATCCATGCTTTTGTAGATTTGATTGTATATTTGGGATCATGTTTTGCTGCATGAGCCAGTTGCACTTCAGTTTCAACTGATGGACAGATGATTTGATATCTTCCTGTAGATTTCTCCAATTTAAAGCAAAACTCATGCTTCTTTTAATGTTTAAAATTGTCCAGATCCTGAGATAGCAAACCATTCCTAAACAATAATTTTACCACCTCATATTTAACACTTGGTAGGCAATTCTTATTGCGGAATGCAGAATTTGGTTTCTATCAGAAGTTAACAAAAACCACATAGTCCCCAAGTTGTTTTTTTTTTCCATCTCTTGATACAAAAACATTCCAGAAATCTGTAGGGTCATCCAGATGCTTCCAGAAGTCTGCAGGCTATCCAAGTGCTTTCTGGCAAACTTGAGGTGAGCATCAATTTTCTTAGAGAGCACTGGCTTCTACTGTGCTACTCTTCATTGAATCCTACTTTTACCCAGTGTTTTCCTGATGATAGAGTCATGAAAAATGCCTTTAATCTAAAGTGATGTCCCTGGATGTTGTTTTAGGTTTTGTGACTTTCTAGATAATTTTATGCTGTGTCTTTATGCACTTGGAGTAATTTTGATAGGACAGTCACTCTTGCAAAGATTTACTATTGTCAAATTGTCTCAATTTCAAGACTACATCTCTGGAACAATGGAGCCCCAGATCTTTACAAATGGTTTTGTAATCTTTTATAGACTGATAGGTATCAGCAACTTTTTGTGGAGGTCTTCAGCCTTTAAGCAGGGCATTGTGTACCTCTAGGAACTGTATGTTGAGAATTTCACTGTGATGAAGGACCAAAATTTGAGATTTATATGGTGCACAGCTGTCCCAATTCACTGACTGTTTAATAAAGTATTAACACTGCTGCTCCTGGTTATCTTTTTAGTTAAATTGATTGGATAAGAATGGTGATTACTTTTTCACATTGATACACTGCATACTTTGATTACTTTGCTTATGAAATAAATGAAACAAGCACCAAACTTTGGCATTATTTGCTCAGACACCTTTCATATATCAGCAAGACCCACATGAAGTTCTAATTTTATTCAGTGGCAAGAATTCAGAAACTCCCAAAGGGGACTGGTTCATTTTCACAGAACTGTACATGTCTCAATACTTAATTTTAGATGGCAACTGAACACAACCAATTTTAATCTGTTAAAATTTAACTACAGGAGATTAACAGAGAAAGCACCACTCTAACTGCCATGAAAAGACAATTCAGAAGACAAACGACTCTTTAATAAATTTCATTTCCAAATGCCTTCAAAGGAGGAGTTATACTTCACATGACTGACTTACCATTTTTACAATTTCCGAATATGCTGATTCAGTAATCACACCACGATTTGTTGAAACATATTCCACTAGTTCATTCAGTGTTGCTCTTTTAATTTCTTTGCTCCTTAAGTCAGAGACAGAGTCCATGAAATCAAATAATACACAGCACTGCTGTAATTTCTGGCAGAAGAGGACTTGTTGTTCATTTGAAGTGGCATCTACAAAAGAAAAAAGTGAATTAGAATTTACTGTTCTATAACATTCAGTGTATACATCAAAATACGTAATTTATTTAATATCACATTCATATTACATCTTTCCTCTGGGAGTTCAAAGTAGCAGACACAAGAATCTCATCTAATTTTGTGCTCAGGACATGATAGGTTGGGCTGAGAGATAGTGACTGGCCCAAATTTACTCAGTATATTCTGTGGTCAAGTAGGACATCTTATTCCAACACCTTAACTGTTTTAGAAAATCTCACCTAAACTAATGCTAATTATCCAACAACTGATCTAATATTTCATTATCACATATATAGTGAAACCATCTTATCTATGTATACCATCTTATATTTTGTATACTCTATACATAATATACTTATTCAGCAACATCAACAAAACTACGTACTAAAAATGCATTATCATTACTGAATTTAAATTTAGTCTTCTAGCCTAATCTTTAAAATGCTATTCCTGGTACTGACAAAAAAAATTAAATTTCTGAGAAGAAAACAGCATGTTTTTCACACATAGGAAGTGACTGTCCTTTCTTGGAGAGAAAATCAGAATTAAACTTACACTGAGTAAACTGAGGGTATATACACATTTTTATACCAATTAATATTACTAAGCTTTTGAATAGTACTGTTACTACAGGAAGAACTTGCTTACCGACTGCCTCATGCAGTGACCATTCAAAGTTACAATAGTGCTACCTCGGGTTACGAACGCCTCTGTTAACGAACTTTTCGGGTTACGACCAGCTCCGGCCGCAAAATTTTGCCTCGGTTTGCGAACTCCGCCTCGGGGTACAAACAGGATACGCGGCCATTTTCCCTCCTGTGACACGGTCCGTGGCCATTTTTCCACCCGACACGTGATCCGCAGCCATTTTCCGCCCCTGACACGTGGTCCGCAGCCATTTTTCCACCCCTGACACGTGGTCTACGGCCATTTTTCCGCCCCTGACATGTGGTCCGCAGCCATTTTCTGCCCGACACATGGTCCACAGCCATTTTTCTGCCCCTGACATGTGGTCCATGGCCATTTTCCGCCCCTGACACGTGGTCCGCAGCCATTTTCTGCCCGACACATGGTCCACAGCCATTTTTCTGCCCCTGACAATGCATCTATTTAATCTAGTTTAGACTATTTCCCAATTCTAAGCAAATGCATCTATTTAATCTAGTTTAGACTATTTCCCAATTCTAAGCAAAACCTTATGGGGAAATTTCCTTCGGGTTGCGACCAATTCGGGGTGCGACCAGAGTCACGGAACAAATTAAGTTCGTAAACCGAGGTTCCACTGTAACTCTGCAACCAAGGTGCACATTTACAACCTTTGCAGCATCTCTCTCTCAGTCACATGCTCACTACTGCAGTCAGTATGTGTTGTCCTGTGCCTGACCCTTCCGCCCACCCAAAGGGCAGAGAGATTGGAGAGGAAGGGATTACAAGACAGTAAGCAGGCACACAATGGGAAATACACATTGAAAGGAATGTTCTAGCACAAGCTGTTTGCCTAGCACACTTGGGGCTGTGCATTCCTTTTGATGTGCATTTCCTGTTATGTGCCTGCTTACTCTCTTGTAATCCCTTCCTCTCCAATAAATGTAAATACAAACATTAACTCCCTTCTTGTTAATTATCCCAGCCCTGAGGTAAGCATTCCAAAGGACAGGGGAGTGGGGGGAAAGGAAAGCTGAAGTAAAATCAGAAGCAGTCACGGCCACACGATTTTCCACTTAGCGACTATGTCATTAGCGACCAAGTTGCCAGTCCCAATTATGGTTGTTAAACAAGGACTACATGTAGGCTGAATTTTTCAGGCATAAATTATTTTAAAATTAATTGCCAATATGAAAAGGTGAGAAAATGCATCTATTTAATCTAGTTTAGACTATTTCCCAATTCTAAGCAAAGCTTATAAATAAAAGAATTTCAGCTGATCACTCAGTACTGTAGGCTCAACATTTTCATGCCTCGAGTCTGTTGGCTCTGCTGTTCTTGCTTTCCTGGCTTCTTCAGAAGTTTAGTTCTTTCTTTTCCCTCCAATTCCACAACTAGATACACAGTTTGAAATCTCAGTGCCAATACAAAATGTAATCAGCAATATATTTCTCTTTCTCTTTCACTCTCACCTATCTCATGGGGTTGTATAAACAAATCTGTTACATTGCCAGAACTTTTATAAATTAGATCAGCAGTCAGTTAGATATGAGATTTATTTCTGCAGCATTTCAGAATACTAATAACTATTCATATTAGCAGAATAACTTCAATCAGAGACCAAAAGAATCTGAATTTTGCCATCAGTCTTGGTTATATAAGTTAAATTTGGAAAAGTACTCTGGCTGTGGGCTAAAATTAGCATGTAAATGACCTCAAATGATCGTTTGAAGTCAATTATAGCAATAGATTTAGAAATGAAGTGAAATCCTCCATAAGCAACAAAACAGGGTAGAGAATCGGATTCAGCTCACAACTGGTTATGTTGGCTGGGGTTGCTGTGAGCTGAAATCCAACAATTGTGGAGGGCCTCAGATTCTGTATGCCTACATGAGACAGTAAAACTTTGAAATATACAGTACATATTTCCAATTCAGACATAACACACAATAAAATAAGCAAAATTTCTCCAAACATGTTTGCCAGATTTCAAATGTACACAGAGATAATGTCTACTCAACAATTTGCACTCTTTAAAATAGGCATACAACTCTAAAGTATATATTGTTAGCTTACATGCATATATGTATTTTTATGTACATTGCTGCATAATGTACAAAAATACAATCAAATGTTATATTTTGATTGTAAGCCACCTCAGGTCATTTGGATTCAGCACCATATACATTTTATAAATAAACAACTGTAAATACTGAAGTTTGGCAAAAAGGAAGACTGCTTGTTCAAGCTTTATTTGGGGTAGCAAATAAAGTGTGTATGCCAAGGCAATTGGAAAATGACACCCAAGGACCTTATCACTCCTGCCAAATGAAAGATGTCCCCATTGTGCTTGTTTTAGCAGCTTACAAGTTACAGTTTGAGAAAATCTGGAAAAATTATGTTGGAGAAGTTTCTGCAAGGCATATTGTCTTCTGTGTTCTCAACTGCTTCAACAGAGAGCAAGAAAACATGAATTAAGACCATTCATTACAACAGCTACTTCTTTTCGTTTTTCACTTTTGGTGTGGGGATTCAAAATGAATCTAGTTAATGAAAGATCGCCTGTAACAATCTGCATTGTGGGAGGCCTCAGTTAGTACCTTAGACAGTGGCCACTCTCAAGCCCTAAAACATCAGATTTTAAGGTAACAGACTAGAAATAATATAAAAATAGATACTTCGCTGGGAAATCAGAACAGAGAATGATGCCAAAAGGAAATAATCACTTGACCTATTTATAAAATATAAATATGCAAGGAAGTTTTACTGAACAAATAAAATCACACCGACAATCTAAGAGATGACAATCCTTACACTCAAACAGTGCATTTTATCCTACATGACTAAAACATCACAGCTGATTTTCTAATTACTGAAATCCAGTATCCCAAGGTGATAAACAACAATGAACATTATAAATTTAGATGAAACTGAATCTACCAGCCAGGACAAATATATGCAAAAATGAGTATGTTAAAAGAATAGAAGAACCTTATAGTGGAAACAGGTTATTTTTAAAGTAAGGTTATTTCAGTGTGACTGAAAGCAACCCTCAAGCTGCCAACACATGATCTATTTTGAGCTGTGCGTGTTTGGTAAGCACACTGTGGTTTCCAGCACAAGAGCAAAATCTAACTGGCTCAGAATACCTGACATGATGCTTAGTTCCAGAGCATCTTTATGTTACATTCACATAAATAAATTCAGATCTAAAAGGAAGTGCTGGCAAAAGAACACAATTCTATGGGTTACATTCGCTGCACCTAGAAAGTATTCATGCCACTATGCATCGAAAGAGGCTTGCAGAATGCTGATGATTTTCATAAATACTTATCAGAGTAATGAAGCGTATCAGGCATAGCCTCAGGATCAATGCAACAAAGGCAAAAGTGTTGGAAAAGGCATTAACTATTCCAGATTATGGATGTTTGATTTTGTCCAATTAGCTAAATTATACATACTTCTTATATTCATTTATGGTTTGATTTCTAAATAATGTATGTGCCATTTTATCCTTTTCACAGAAATTTGAACAATTTGTGGCATATTTCTAACATTTTGTTTCTCTATTATTTTTATTCATTTTCAAAACTTAGTAAGAAAAAGTTCTGAGTATTTAATTCTTAAAACTCAAGTTCTAGAAGTACAAAAGTCAACATAAATCATAAGGGCATAATAAAGTTCCTAATGTGAAATATCTTAATATGCATCCTATTCATAATTTAAATATTACTGAAAAGAATTGGGCTTAATTTCATACTAATTTTAACTTTCTAATATTTGTGCCTATATTTATTTTCAAATATATTAGATAAGTACATAACCAAGTCTACATGTATTTGGAGTATTCTGCCTAATGAATTTCCTGAATATACTCTATTTTAAGGTTACAAAAAGTGGTATCTTGGGGATTCAAGATTTCTATTTTACACATAATGTTGATGGAACAGGTTACTTCTAGAGTTTCTGAGCCAGTGATGGTAAAATGATGCTGACCAGATGATTTGGATTTGGGCTCCCATTAACAACCTTGGTGCTGTAACAGCATGATTTACCAGCAGTAGTAGCATAATCTGTGGGGCAATACAGAATGGAAAAAGGAACAAAATGCCAAAATATATCTCCTGCCAGGAACATCAAGTGTTTCATCTTGGTCATTATGGACTGCTAAGAAACTAAGATGGGGAGGCAGGTTAACAAAGGATGGAAAACAGAAAGAAGAAAACAATTTATTGCTAATGTTGCATTTGCAGACTTCTGAGGGTTTTAGGCTTAAGAACAATAGTCACAACTCATCTATTTAAAAATACCAAAAAAAAAAAGTGTTC